TTTTTGACAAATCCCGAGCCCGGCCCGAAACACAGTCGGGCTTACTGTGTTAAGCCCGAGGTCAGGCCCACGGGCCTAATTATATGACCAAGCCCGGCCGGGGTGCGGGCCGGGCCGTCGGGCTACCCGGCCCATGAACAGGTCTAGCCTCAACCCATATAGCAGTCCAAATGAGTTGGAGACAAAATCGTGTACACCGGGCTGTGCTACACGAGTGAGGGCCCACAGGAAACACTGGTGTATTCACTTGTGATAAGTAGCCCAGCCCGGTGTGCATGACTTTGTCTTCTGCAATCTGGTCTCCCCTTATAGTCATGCATGGAGAACATCTCTTGTATTAATATGTTGTCATATTGATCAAAAAAATATAGTCATACTCCTTGTGTATAAGGCGTCTAGTGGGTAGCAGATCCAAGAGAGAATCTGGATCTGCAGATCTGCTCCCCACACCAATCCTAAGGCATATTGCAGTTGCAAGGTTTTAAAAATTAGACTGGACACAGAACCATTTTGGCCACTGGTTCCTGGGTCAAACAGTCTAACCATTCAGTCTGAATGGATGGCTTATTATGATTTAAAAAAAAAAATAAAAATAAAAAACGATCAAAAACCATTGTTTGGGTCGATGGTTTGACTGTCTGGGTCAATGGATCAATAGTTTTTGGTCCAGAAACGGTTTTTTAGGTGAAATGGAACCGATTGCCTGACTGATTCCCGGGTCAACCAGTCTGACCATCCAGTCTGGTCCAGTTTTTAAAATCATGTGCATTTGTATATTGGAAACATCTCCTATATTGTCATTTATGGGGTGATGTTTACAATGCATGGCTGCAATATACTATGGGGAGCAAATCCAGATTCATATTTCCCTATGAATGACAACCTACAAGTATGGGAGATTCGTAATGTATGACGGCAATGTGTTATGGGATTAGTGTAAGGAGAAAATCCAAATTCTTACATGATTAATTTTGTATTAGCCCGTGGAATAACCTTGTGAACTTGCCATCAATACCCAATTTAAAGAATTTACACAACACACCAGTTAAATATTAATAAATTCTCAAATCAGGTTCACCCAAGTTGCACTTCTTATGACATGAAAGATTCTTTGGACCTCTCTCTAATAAACCCAAATTAATCACTTTCAGTCTTTTACTACTATAAGTTCCGTGTAAATACAAGGTTTATAAATATAGTATACAAGGTTATACACTGAATATATATATTTTTAATTTCTCAAAAAATATAT